CTCCTCCTCCTCCTCCTCCTCCTCCTCCCAGAAATGTCACTCGGTGTCCAGGCGCCGTCAGCACAGACGCTGTTGTCAATGAATCAGAAGTGTCTAGGAACAGCTTGAACAACTTTTATTTTTTTTTTTTTAAAGTGCTTAAAACGTAAATAACAAGCTCTTTATAAACATTAGTCGCAACTCTTCAAACATGAGACGCACAGAACCCACTTCCTGCGGACGTGAAGAACGGGGAAACCAACAACTCTGAAAAACCCTGACGCTTCTCCCACCTGGGGATGTTTTTCCAGGTTTTTAGCCCCAAACACGGCGGTTCCTTCCCAGACAAGGCTGAGTCCACGTCCCAGCGCAGAATCCACATCCCTTTGGGTTTGTTCCAGTTTGAGGATAAACCTTGGGTGGTTCTTCTGGCCCAGGCGTGGCCAGCAGGACCAGGCAAGGGGAAAAGAAATCATTGGGTGAAGTTCTTGAGAAGCAGAAAGGCAGCTGTGGGCTGAGAGCCAGGGCAGAGCCCTGCTCAGGCTCGGGGGAAAACAAAGTGGCACAAAGAGAAACCACGGGAAATTCTTCAAACAGAACAGGGGGAAGCTGCTGCTGCTGGCCCAGAAAACCTCTGGGGTGTGCTGGGCTCAGCAGAGAGGAACAGAGCTCAGGATGCTCCTGCCCAGGGATCCCAAATAAATCACTGAACACAGAGATTCACTCACTCAGCACGGACATAAATCCCAGATGGGCAACTCGAGAACATTCCCCCAGTTCTCCTCCTCGTCCCCTCCCTCCCTGAGGAGCTTTGGGTGCCCAAAACAATTCCCTTGGAACGTGGAGGTTCAACACCAACACCAGGGGCTGCTGTGAGCTCTTCTGCACAGCCCAAAACCTGCGGGGAGGGGAACCCCAAACTCTCAGCACAGGGGAAGGGAGAACCCCAAACTCTCAGTACAGGGGGAAGGGAGAACCCCAAACTCTCAGCACAGGGGGAGGGAGAACCCCAAACTCTCAGCACAGGGAGAAGGGAGAACCCCAAACTCTCAGCACAGGGGGAAGGGAGAACCCCAAACTCTCAGCACAGGGAGAAGGGAACCCCAAACTCTCAGCACAGGGGAAGGGAGAACCCCAAACTCTCAGCACAGGGGAAGGGGAACCCCAAACTCTCAGCACAGGGGGAGGGAGAACCCCAAACTCTCAGCACAGGGGAAGGGGAACCCCAAACTCTCAGCACAGGGAAAGGGGAACCCCAAACTCTCAGCACAGGGGGAAGGAGAACCCCAAACTCTCAGCACAGGGGAAGGGGAACCCCAAACTCTCAGCACAGAGGGAAGGGGAACCCCAAACTCTCAGCACAGGGGGAGGGAAAAGGAGAGAGCAGAGACTGAGAGATGGCAGCAGGAACCGCGGGGCTGCCCAGAAATCCGGGACGCGCACGGAACATCCAGCCCTGCTCGGATCCGCCGCGGATCCCGCGGAGAGACAGGACACACACGGATCCTGGGGACACGAGGGGCAGGACTGATGGACATGGGAACAGGAATGGTGGGAACAGGAGATGGGAACGGGAATGGTGGGAACAGGAGATGGGAACAGGGAATGATGGAAACACAAGATGGGAACACAGGGAATGATGGAAACAGGAGATGGGAACAGGGAATGGTGGGAACAGGAGATGAGGAATAGAACAGGTGTGGCTGGAAACAGGAGATGAGGGAAGCACCTATTGCTAGAAAGACGGGAGAAGAGGGAACAGGAATTGTTGGAAAGGCGGGAGAAGAGGGAACAGGAATTGTTGGAAAGGCAGGAGATGAGGGAACAGGAATTATTGGAAAGGCAGGAGATGAGGGAACAGAACAGGAATTCCTGGAAAGGCAAGAAATGTGGAAGCACCTATTGCTGGAAGCAGGAGATATGGAAGCACCCATTGCTGAAAAGGCAGGAGATGAGAGAACAGGAATTGCTGGAAAGGTGGAGATGAAGGAACAGGAATTGCTGGAAAGGCTGGAGATGAAGGAACAAGAATTGCTGAAAAGGCAGGAGATGAGGGAACAGGAATTGCTGGAAAGGCTGGAGATGAGGGAACAAGAATTGCTGGAAAGGTGGAGATGAGGGAACAGGAATTGCTGAAAAGGCAGGAGATGAGGGAACAGAACAGGAATTGCTGAAAAGGCAGGAGATGAGGGAACAGAACAGGAATTGCTGGAAAGGCTGGAGATGAAGGAACAAGAATTGCTGAAAAGGCAGGAGATGTGGGAACAGGAATTCCTGGAAAGGCAAGAAATGTGGAAGCACCTATTGCTGGAAGCAGGAGATGTGGAAGCACCCACTGCTGGGAAGGCAGGGAAGCAGGGAACAGGAATTGCTGGGAACAGGAGACGAGGGAACAGAAGAGCTATTGCTAAAACCAGGAGATGTGGAAGCACCTATTGCTGGCAGGGCTGCACACCTGGTACAACCTGCTGAGCTCTGAGAGTAACTTTTGATATTCAAGTGCAAAACATTCAGGCTTTTGGAGCAAAACAAGGCAGAGCTGACTAAGGCAGAGGGGGCTGAGGGAGGCGGTGAGACACGATGGGAGAGGAGGGATGGCTGGGAAGGAGGTGCCTGGGATCCACAGAAACATTGGCACTTGTGTGGGGAGCACCGACACCATTCCTGTCTGTGTGCAGCCCCAGCTCCCTGGGAGATGTTGGCTCTGCAGCTCTCCCATCAATGCCCTCCTGAGAATTCCTGTCTCCCTTTTCCCAGCACCCATTCCCGTGCCCACAGCTCCTCCTGAGCTCCTGCAGCTCGCAGGGACATGGGGGGCACCCAGAGAGGGGCTGGGCTGCAGGCAGGGCTCGGAGGGTCCTGGCACCTCCTGAAACGGGAGAAACTCTTCCCTTGGGCACTCCCAGCCCACCCCAGCACCGCAGGGAACAGAAACACAGGAGCAGCAGCTGGAGCAGTGCAAACCCTCAGGGATTTCCCAGCAGGGAGAGGCAGGAAGGAGAGGGAGGTTGGTGGCTGGTGCTCTCCAAGGGAGCAAATCCTCCTCCTCCTCCTCTTCCTCCTCCTCCTCCTCTTCCTCCTCTTCCTCCTCCTCCTCCTCCTCCTGCTGCAGGGTCCAAGAGGACAGGAGCAGAGCTCCTTTTCTCCTGCCCCAACACTGCCTGTCTCCAGCTGTATTCTATCCAGGAACACTCAGCCTGCCCTGCCCTGCCAGCTCCTGATCTCTGTCCTTGCCCTGAGCTGTGCAGGGCTCCTGCAGGGACCCAGGGCACCTGCACAGCCAGTGGGGAACAGTTAACTCCCTTTTCTTGGCTGAGAAGGAAAACGGGAGGAACCTGCCCCAGGCAGGGTGTGTGGGACTGAGAATTGCATTTCAGAGCCTTTTTGGGGTAGGAAACTGCTACTGGCCTATGGCAAAAGGCACCATTCTTCAAAGTCATGGCCTGGATTGAAGCAAGTGAAGAGCAGAGCAGGGAGGTTTGACAAGAACCCAGTGACTGTGGGAGACAGAGAAGAGGGAGAAGGTGCCTTTCATGCTGAAATCCCACTCCAATGGCCCCTCTGCCTGCACAGGCACCGTCTCCAGCCAAAATCCTGGCAGGAGGAGGGAGGGAACAACATCCTTCCCATCCCCTGGCTCAGTACCCCCACATGAGTCGCTCAGCCAGGTAAATCTGAGCCCTTTGGGTGCTCACTCAGGGCTCAGAGCTGCCCCTGAGGCCAGGCCCAGAGAGCTGATCCAGCGTGGATGGGATCAGGGGAGCAGGCTGGGCTCTGGGTTTGGGAATTGTGGGCTGTGCCAGGAGTGTTTGGGGTGCCTGAGCCCGCAGGGGCTCTGCAGAGGGGTCAGACCCCCAGACCTCGCTGCAGGGCCCTTTTCCTGCTGTGCTGGGACAGCCCAGGCAGAGGCAGGGCAGGGCAGCCATTCCTGGGAATACTGAGTGGAAATCCAGCTTGGATCCTGCACTCCTCATCCCTCCAGGGCACACCAGCCCCGTGCTGGGTGGGGGATGCAGAGGATCTCCTGGGGCACCATCCCACCTTCCCTTTCCCATATTCCCAGTGCAGTGGGGTCACTGGTGCTGGGACAGTGCCAGCGTGGCCCAGCAGGCTCTGCCAGCACCCCCAGCCCTCAGTGCTGCTCCTGTGCAGCTCTCCCCGGGCTCAGGGAGTGGCACAGACTGGAGCTGGCTCTTCTCCCTTCCCTGGGTGTCCCACAGCTCTGGTCAGGAGCGGGCTGGGGGAGCCTCACTGGTCCCAGTGTCCCCAGTGCCACCCAGCAGGCCAGGGGACACCAGCCCAGGGGAGAGAGGAGGAGTGTGGGCAGGGGAGCAGCAGCAGGATGCACTCACAGGGAGATGTTTCCAGCCCTCAGGTGTCCATGGGTCACTTAAAGCTGTGGCAGGGGGGTGGCACTTGGGCAGTGACGGGAACCAGGGAGGCTCCAGGGCTCTGCTCCTCCCCGCAGGGTGCTGCCAGCCCATCCACTACCCCACGGCTCCCTGGAGCTGAGCTGAGGGAGCTCGGCCTGGGGAGGAGCAGATGACCCTTCCTGCTGACTCTGGGAGCAGGAGGCCCTGCTGGGAGGAGGGGGAGCGGGGTGCTGGCAGCGTGGCTACTGGCAGAGCTCTGCTGGCTACCGCTGCCCTGGCGGCCTCACGGGGCCTGGCCCCCGCCCAGAGGGATCTGCAGCAGGGTGGGGGACTGCTCCATGATGCGCACCAGCAGCTGGTCGATGTAGTTCTCCAGTTCGTGGATGTGCTCCTCCTTCTTGCTCAGCTCGCCCTCCTTCTGCAGCAGCAGCTGGATCAGCTCGTCGTGGGTCAGGTGGTAATACTTGGCTGACTGGTCCAGCTGGCCAGGCTCCTGCTGGGAACCAAGAGGGACATTCAGGGACTGGAATGAAAAGCTCCTGGGAACATCTGTGGGATGCAGCAACAGCCAGAGCACTCCTGCTTTTCATTGCAAACTGGAGAGGCAGGAGCAGCACGGGGGGCCCACAGAGACCTCGTGTGCTCACAGAGCCACAGCTGAGCTCCCTGCAGCACCCACAGGGACCCTGAGAGCAGCAGGGCTGTGCTTGTCCTTCGCTCAGGTGAACCCCAGCAGCGTTTTCCATGTGACACTGGGGAGGCAAACGGAGTGGGAGAGGACCAAGGGATGGAGGGGACACCCTCAGAACAGCCTGTGTGTCCCCAGAGGAATCACAGGTGCTTTGCTGGCCCCAGCACAGCAGGGTTTGGAGTATCCAGGTCAGCAAAGCTCCAGGAAGGACCTTCCCCCTGCCAGGATGAGGAACCCCTCAGACCATCAGGCAGCTACTACACCTCCCACACCTCGTGGAGACCAGGCTGGATGGGGCTGGGAGCAGCCTGGGATAGTGGGAGCTGTCCCTGACCATGGCAGGGTGGCCCTGGATGGGCTTTGAGGCCCCTTCCATGCCAAGCCCACCTTTGTACAAGCAGGGGTTCACTGCTCAGTGACACCCCAAGCAGTGCAGGTGGTGGTGCAGAAGGATGGGGTGAGGAGCTGCAGAGCCTCTGGGCTCAGGGGAGAAGGGAGGCAGAGCAAGCAGAGGCTGGATCCACACACAGCAGGAGCCTGCCTCCCCCCAGCCCTGCCACAGCCTCAGCTCGGGGCAGGCTCCTACCTTTAACTTGGGCTCGCTCTTGTCGGGCTGCGGGGCCGGGGCCACGGGCTGGACGCTGCTCGTGGTCACCATCTTCAGCCTCTCCAGGCCATTGCTCAGCGCCGAGCTCAGGCTGGCCCTGTGCTGCTGCCTCCTGTCGCTGGAGCCGTCCTGGGCAGCGCTCAGGGGCTTCACGGGGTGGGGGCTGCGGGAACAAGGCACAGTCAGCACCCCCGGCTGCCCCCTCCCCTGGCACTCTGCAGGGATGGCACAGCTGAACCCAGCTGAGCTGCTCACAAAGCTCCCAGGAGAGGCAGCAGGGTGGGGCAGAGCTCTGCTCCCACCCAGCCAGGAGATAAGGAGCCCCAGGCAGGTGTTTGGATGAGATACTGGTGCCCACTCTGCACTGGCCAGCAGCACTGGGCACGCCGTGGGGCACAGCTCCCGCCTGCCAGGGGTTCAAACACAGCTCCAGGGTGACCAGAGGCTGCTGCACCCACTGTCCACAGCAGCTTTCTGCTGCCCAGGGACCCCCAGACTGGCCCGGGGTCACCACCGATGCTCCAGCACAGAGGTGAATGTCACCTGCCTGAAAGCCACCCCAGAATTTGTCCCCCTCCACAAGGCCAAACACAGGGTGAGGAGCCAGCTAAGGGGGAATTACATTTTCATTTCTTTTTGCCTCACTTTTCACCCAAAATGTTCTTCCTGGGCTTGAACAAAGTCCAGTTCATTCTCAGCATGATGGAAAGAGAAGTGACCTGATGCTCCCTCCCTGCAAGGAGCAGGCACAGCTGTGCACCATCCTGGGGATGGAAACATCCAAATATCCATTCATGGGGATGGAAACATCCAAATATCCATCCATGGCAATGGAAACACCCAAATCTCCATCCATGGCAATGGAAACACCCAAATCTCCATCCTGGGGATGGAAACATCCAAATCTCTATCCTGGGGATGGAAACATCCAAATATCCATTCATGGGGATGGAAACATCCAAATATCAATCCTGGGGATGGAAACATCCAAATATCCATTCATGGGGATGGAAACACCCAAATCTCCATCCATGGCAATGGAAACATCCAACCACCCATTCTTGGGAAGGAAACACCCAAATCTCCATCCTGGGGATGGAAACAGTCAAATCTCCATTCATGAGGATGGAAACATCTAACCACCCATCCTTGGGGATGGAAACATCCAAACTTCCCTCCACTGGGATGGAAACATCCAAATCTCCATCCATGGGGATGGAAACATCCAAATCTCCATCCACAGGGATGGAAACAGCCAACCATTCATCCATGGGGATGGGAACATTCAGCCATCCCTCCATGGGATGGAAACACCCAAACCTCCACCTGGGAGCTCTGCAAAGCCTCTCACAGGTGGCAGCCCCAGCAGCTGTGAGTCCCAGCAGTGCTGTGTCCTCGTCCATGGTGATGGGATCAGGACACAGCCAGGATGTGGAAATCCTCCTCAAGCAGAGGATGCCTCCAGGTGCAGCTCTGGCAGCACCAGCCTGCCCCAGCGAGCCAAAGGATCAGCTCCTCCCGAGGGGCAGCACAGCAGCAGCTCTCATCTCTTCCCTCTGCTGCCCAGGGACAGGACCAGGGAATGCTGGAGCTGGGCCAGGATTGGGTTGGATTTTGGGAAAGGTTCCTGATCCAGAGGTGCTGGCACTGCCCAGGCTCCCCAGGGAATGGGCACGGCCCCGAGGCTGCCGCAGCTCCAGGAGCTCCCAGGGATGCCCAGGGTGGGATTGCTGGGGGGTCTGGGCAGGGCAGGGGGGATTTGATGATCCCTGAGGGTCTCTCCCAGCTCAGGACTCTGATTCTCAGATCCCTTGGCAGAGCTGTCCAAGCACATGGACAGAGCCCAGGATTCCTGGGCAGCTGGAAGGGATGGAGAGGGATCCCACAGCCCTAAGGTGGAGCCACTGACAGTGCCAGGGGCTGGAGGAGCTGCTGCGCTGCACATGCAGCTCCAGCACTGCCCACTGGCACTAAACCCTGACCAGGAGCTACAGCCACCAGGACACTGCAGGACAGGGGTGAGGAGAGGCCTGGGGAACCACCAGGGCTGCTCACCACGGCCAGATGTCACTGTCACCTTGTGCATCCCCACAGGCAGCGCAGGGGCTACGAGCAGAGCGTGGCTGGGAACCTCCCTGGGACCCAGCTGACCTGGGACACCAGCAGGAATGTGGGAATGCCTGGATGTGTTTGAGTGCAGGGGGATATCCCCACCCAGCCAGTGGGAACAGTCACTGCTGCAGGCCTGGAAAAGGGACTTTGGGGAATAAATCATTATCCTACTGCTTCCCAAGGAGGGAGGTGAGTGCAGGGCTCAGCTGAGCAGAGCAAGGCTCTGCCTCCTCTGTCTGTCTCTGCGAGGATCCAAGAGCTGGCGACATTCCTGGAGCTGTGTTTGTCCTGGGATGGTGGCACCAGGTCCTTCCAGGGGAGCTTCACACCTCACAGCCAGGTCTGAGGTCCTGGTGGACCTGCCAAGAAGCTGCACCCGTTTCCTCTCCTGCTCCACGAGCATCAACTCCAGCGTGGAACCAGCTGCTCACAGGCTCCTAACCCAGAACTGCATCCCAAGGGGATCTGAGTTATGCTGGAGCTTAGGGCCAAGGTGGAACATCTCAGGGTGACACTGGCCCAGCCCTGTCCCCCTCTCTGAGCCAGCCTTGCCCTGTCCCAGCTGTCCCCGGCGCTCCCGAGGTCACTGCAGAGCACCGGGACACACCGGGTGCATTTCCCTCACAGGAAATCATTCAAACGCTCCCCACGGAGAACGAGACAGCAGAGGACAAATCCAAGGCAATTCCTGTCCCTTGTGGCCTCCTGTGGCCTGGAGCACCACACAGACCCGAGTTCCAGCTCTCCATGGAGAAAGGCTCTCCATGGGAATGGCTGTGCTCAGCACCGGCTGGCCCAGGGCTGGCCCAGGGATGTCCCAGGACTGGCCCAGGACTGTCCCAGGGCTGCCCCAGGGATGTCCCAGAGCTGGCCCAGGGATGTCCCAGGGCTGGCCCAGGACTGTCCCAGGGTTGGCCCAGGGATGTCCCAGAGCTGGCCCAGGGATGTCCCAGGGCTGTCCCAGGGATGTCCCAGGGCTGTCCCAGGGCTGGCCCAGCCACGCTCCCAGGATCACCAAGGGGAAGTGACTTAACCTGGCACGTCCTGCTCAGAACACAGCGCTCCTCTGCACGCCTGGCACGAGGGAGGCGCAGCCTGTGCCACCACCTCAGGACCTGGGACATCCCCACCCCTGTCACCTGCAAGCGCCACGGCATGCTGGGCCAGCCCCACACCCAGCACAGGGGCAGGAGCTGCAGGGCTGCTGGATCCCAGCACAGGGGCAGGAGCTGCACGGCTGCTGGATCCCAGCACAGGGACAGGAGCTGCACGGCTGCTGGATCCCAGCACAGGAGCTGCACGGCTGCTGGATCCCAGCACAGGGACAGGAGCTGCACGGCTGCTGGGTCCCAGCGCAGGAGCTGCACAGCTGCTGGGTCCCAGCACAGGGACAGGAGCTGCACGGCTGCTGGGTCCCAGCACAGGAGCTGCACAGCTGCCAGGCCCCTCCAGGCACAGAGCCCCCAGGACACGGTCCCTGGCTGTCCTGGGGGCTGTGACACCTCCCAGCAGTGACGGGGACCCTGCCCAATGCCCAGGGGCAGCAGAGGGCTCTCCCCACACCCGGGAGCTGCAGCTGCAGCTGCTCCCTTGCCCCAGCAGCCATGCAGGATGACCAAAGAGCCTCTGGCCACTTGGGAAGGGACCACGGGACCCCAGTCCCTGTTTCCAGCTCTCCTGAGGAGGCACCAAACCCCCTCACCCCAAACTCTCACACACCAGGTACCTGCCCCCCTTCACCTGCAGACACTTTTGTCCCAGCCAGGAGTTAATGCCCATCCCAAGTCTGTTTCCTTTTTCCTCCCATCCTCCCCTCATCTGTGGCCTCTGGCCATTCCAACAGGAGATGATCCTGGGAAGCATCGCCATGGGGATTGGGAAAGGATCCCTTCCAGCTTTCCTCCCTCACCCTGGGGTGAGTCCCAGCCCTGTGAAGCATTTCAGAGCCTCAGAGCCTTCCCAGCTCTTCAGAGGTTCCTCAGTCACAGCAAGCATCCAAAACGTGCTGGAGGAACCAGGGAAGCTCCAGGACCCCTGGTCCTGTGTCACAACAGAAGGCAGCACTGACATCCAGGATATCCAGCTCTTGGATCCACTCCATGCCAGGAGCCAAACAGGATAAATGCAGCCTGGATAAATGCACAGCAAGGCTGGGGATGGCCACGAGCAGGTTCCAGCAGCACAGAGATTCCTGTACTTCCCTCACTGCCCCAGTTACCCCTTTGGCATCACAGGACACTTCTCTTTCCATGAAACATAACAAAATTCATGTTTCTGTGCAGCACCTCTGCAAATTTTGAAGAAGGCTATCTGCTGGAGGATGAATAATCCAATTAAAAATGATTGGAGGATCTGGCCCAAATAAGAAGAAAAAAAATATCACCTGACAGACCCAGCCAGGTGCTGGTCTTTGCTCCTGGGGTCTCTTTGCTCCTCATGCTCAACCCAAGGGGGGATCCCCGTGTGGAAGGACTGGAGCTCAGTGAGTTCTGCTGGCCCCATCCTCCCTCCCCTCCTCTCCCCAGGGCTGCACCCAATCTTGCTCTTGGGCCAGCTGGGATTTTATCATTTCAGTGCCCCCAGGAAGCTCCACTTGCCCCATGATCAGTGATGCTGATCAATAAATCCCTGCTGGAGCTTGGTAAATCACTGGGAGAGCTCGGTCCTTGGGCAGGCAGAGCAGGGGAAGGAGCACCAGGGAAATGAGAGGAACTGAAGGACACAGAGCAAGATTCCTCACCCTGAACTCACCAGCTTTGCTTCATGGCATCTGTACAGAGCCACGAGTGACCCGGGAGGAGGAACAGCCCCTTCCTGCCACCCTTCCCATTCATCCCCAGCAGCCTCAGGGCTAAATCCCACTTGTTCATCCCCCAAGGGGCATCTCGGCAGGAGGGAGGGGAGAAGGACATTCTGCCCTGGTAAAAAACTCTTTTTGTGGCTATGGAGAGAAGGAGGATTCCAGTGCCCAAAGGGCTCAAAGGAAAGCAGCCAAAGCTGAATGGATGGCAGGGGAGCAGCTGTGCACATGCCATGAGGGAGCTCAGGAGA